TCATAGTCCTATTAGCACCGAACCTAGATGTAAATATATGAAGCCATTGCAGTGCCCAGTGTCAAAATGTGACACCAGCAGAACGCATGCCACCAATTGGCTAGTCAATTGAATCATGACAGGGCTTCACTCACGAAAATTCAAGCTGCCATTTAAGCTGGCAACGAGGGAAATGACTCCACAGAAAAATAAAACTGTGGTCCCGGAGTCTGACAAAAAGCCAGTGAAATAGAGGTATACAATCGCCTCGACAGCCTCCATTGTAATGTTGTGTTTGTGTCGCTTAAAAATGACGTCACAGGACTTTGAGGCGCATTAGTATAACGACCAAAATACACATTAGGTGGTACTCAATTGTAATGGAAAGTGACCTAAACTGAATGGAGTCAGGCCATGTCAGGGAGATACTAGTGGAAAAGCGCTATAAGTCTGTCTAATTTTGAAAATTTGTGTGTTATCTAACACTACTTTGCAGCTATCTGTGCCTGCGCACACATACAGCAGCTGTACAGTGTATTTATGCATCGTGCTAACCAAGTTTCCATGTTAATAACTTTGCACTCAACCCTCTTTTTCAAATGTGTTGACTTTTGGATTAAAAAAAAGGAATAATTTGTGACCATGATTTGTATAAAGCGATGATAAAAACAAAAGGAATAATTTTGAGAAAACCACGGGGTAGCTAAACTAGAGGCTTTCCAATCGGGACTAAACAAACCACTGAGTGATGTTCCGGAGCCTACATGCATCTTTTATATACAGTCTCTAATTAGTGCTTCTTTTTCCCTTTACTGTGAATCACGTCCTACACGATAATACATTTAATACATTCATTGGAAGTAGTGTTGAGTTTAGGTTGTCATCATCACACTGGTGACTTAACCATCTTGTTTTCATCTCCCATCATCATCTGTCCTTTTACCTCCAACTCTTTTTCTTGATCCCCTTTTTAGTGGAGGTTAATGCCATTAGCGGTGCACAGCTGTGTGGGGCCCTGGCCTCCTCATTGCTGAATGAGCTCCGCTCAGCTTGGAGGCTTGATGACAGGGAAATCTGCAATACTGTTGGGCGGTGCAGTGAAGTCTGACTTATGATGATTGGAGTTAATACCGTAGCAAGACAATCAGCCCACCTGCTAGCATCCCTCCGCTGTCGCCCACTGGGTAAGGAAACTGGGCTTTCGTCCATCAGCTCCGGCCACACGGCTCGATGCACATGAAGAATTCCACACTGCCCTTTAATGTCCACCTAATAACCTAAGCAACATTTGTGGCTTTGAACACATAGTTTATAGCCGAATTAGATGCATTTATGTGAAGTGCCACTCCAGTGATTTAATGCAGCGCTGAAGGAGCACATAAATACAGTACGTAATGGGAAATGGCTGTCAATAACTCCTGATTGAGCTCTGCGATGCCATTGGCTGAAATAACTCCCCATTACTGCAGATTCTAATTGTCCATAAACACATATGCACCAAAGAATAATGAAACACAAAATGACAAATAATGCAGTAAATTATCCTCGAAATGAGACACACACAAATAGTTGAGTGGGCCAGTGGACGCAGCCAATTTAAAAAAAAAAAAAAAATCCTTTCTAATTTTTAACAGACTTTCTTTTCATCAACATCATTAACATGCTTATTTACAATGGACAGCAGGAAAGGGTGATCTCTGATGCCATTAGTGAATGCAGCAGCTTCACTTTTGATAGCTCCTGCTTTGAAAAACGGTCAGAATCTCACTCTAATGGGATGTTGATGTATTCATCAACAGAGATGGGGGTTTTTTTCTTTTTTTTTCTACACAGCCTACCATACAAAACTGTTGCTGATGTGTTTAGTGTTAGAAATTTACACAAAGTTTTCCCCAAACACATCATTTGATAAAAGATTCAGCTGAAGACCTCATACGTATTTCATGATCCGGGATAGTTGTGTGTGAGTGAGCTCTGGAAACTGTTTTCACCCGAGTCAGGCAGAGAGCACGGAAAATAAGCCTCTAATGCCATCAAAATAGTTTAAATGACTTTGTTTTATGCATTCACTTTGGAGTCAATTCATTTCTAACAAAACTGCATTTTCTGGCTCGACTCGGTGCTTAGTCACCTGTACCGCCTTTGACAAATTGCTTTCTGTAAGCCTGTGCAACAGCAGAAGTGTCGGCGATGCAGATTTGATGTTCGGTCCTTTAATTCTTCACATGACGGCTGCGTTTTGTTCTGCTTCAGACAAAGCGTGGTATGTAAGTCTTTACCTGCTCCTAACAAATTACATACAGTTAGAGTCTATGAGATGCGATCAGAAAGGGAAGAGATGCATAAAAATCTAAATCCTTCCTTGAAGGCGGCACTTCAGGTGATGAGGGGAGACGAGAGGTGCTGGAGGACATACACCTAGCATTGTAGCCTGATGCTCTTGGTGGTTTGTCTGGCCCATTTGATCCATTCCCTGAGCTTTGTGATCATCCTTTAGAGAATTGGTTAAACACACTAACACCTCCCACTTCTTCTTTCAAAGCACTTAGCCCATAGTGATAGTTTAACCTAGTGGTACTCAAAGTTTTTCAGGCCAGCTACACTTCAGAAACCAAAAAAGTTCTTTCCTTACGCCTCTGCTATGATCAATTATTAACCGTTATTAAAAATAAAAAATAAGAGCATCACGAGACGCCATCGTGTCTATTTTTCACCTGGGTTTCCACACTGCATCTGCAGCGGCTCCTCGCCCCACAGTTTGAGGATGTCTGCAGAGGTGCAAAAATATTACCATTTATGCTGTGAGCCTTAATCCCGTGGCTGTGCGGCTTCAGCGTAGCGTGTATGAGAAATAAAGATGATGCAAAAAAGACAAGAAATTTAGCCTTTTTCACTTTGATGCTTGTAAGTAAATCTCAAAAGAAACAGTCTCTTTTCTTGTCTCCCTTCAATTGAGATTTCTTTTTGGCCTTTGTGGGAAAAATTGTCATTCTGAGAGGGCCACAACTATTTTCACTTAGATCAATTATATGAGCACTGGCCAGCAAGAAGACCGGGATGCGGCCTGAGCTGCTCAGACCCACGTGCAAAAACTCAGTAAGCACACACACCTTGATGTAAGCGTAACTGTCAATCAGTTATTGAACATGACAAATCTTTCACCCTCTGCATAAAGATAATTCGCACACGTGTGCATATCCGCACAGATATCAACTTTTACTTCTGCCAGACCATTAAGCAAGAGAGCAGCTCCTTCGGCTCCTTAATGGAAATTGCCATTTCAAAGCCTTCAGAGAGAGATGTTAACCTTGTGCGATACTTGTGGCATTAAAAATGGATCAAAGCAGCTGAGCTTTGATGTCAATGGAAGATTTTATTTGGGTCGTGGCATTAGAGCAAAGCGCTAGGCTGACTTCTTAGTGCCCTCTGCTGGGAGAATTTGGCATTTTACTCATGATCAAAAGTCTTGTGATGTTGTCAGGTTCCCATGCTTGTATTGTAAGAGTATTTTTTTAAGCTCTTGCTGCAATTCCCAGGTCTCCTACGAAAAAGACAAAGTTATAAATGAAGGTGTAAACTGAGACAAAAGAAAATTAGAAAGCAGCTGTTGCCTCTTTCTTTTCACTCAGTCCATCAATCAGGTTTTGTAATGCTATATGAGAGCTGATATGGACTCGCTGGGGTATCGTGTCTGGAAATAGACAGAAACATGGTGGGGTGCTTCTAGGTGGGTGGCGTTGCTTGTTGATGATGGATTCAGGAGAAGGTGAGGTTGGAGGGGGGTTGAACTTTTGACCCTCAGCAGGCAATTTTTTAAAAATCCAGCTCCCTCATGTTAGAGCTTCCCCTCAAAAAGCTCGGCTTAAACCTGAGAAAGAGCAAACTGGCCAAAAATATAAAACCGACTTTGCGGGGGAAGCAAGATCACCAACCCCATGCGCGTGGTGTGTGTGTGTGTGTGAGAGAGTTGTGTAAGTTTGTAGACTAAAAACAGACAGAGGGAGAAAGGCAGAAGGAGCTTTTTTACTATATGTGTGTGTTAGTTTCTGTCAGACAGAAGAGGGAATTGTGCGGATGCACATGCACCATCAGTGTGTATCTGCCTGTGCACCCTTGTGTAAAGCGGTGAGGTGGTGGCGGTGGGGTGAGGAGCGAACTGCAAAGATGGAGATGGAGACACAGATAGAGAGAGTGAAAAAAACCCCATAAATAATTGATGATAGACACCGCCTTGCATCTGCCGCCTGCTGCTGTTGAGTTACTTCAAAGTAGATATTGATGCAGGGTCTTGCTAAAACACAGGATAACCACCCATCCAGTCTGAACTCATTATAGCATTTAGAAAAAACACACAGTTGTACGTTGCAGTTTAAAAGAGCAAAAATGACCTTCTGTGAAATAGAATAGCCTCAGATCATATTTATTCCTTACTTTCTTTTTAAAGAAACCCTTTCCTTGTTATCATGAAAGTCAGGGAAAAAAGATCCAAGTGGGAATCTTAATTAATTGCATATAGTTAGCGTTAAATCGATGTGGAGTTTTTTCCCGGGCTTATATCTGCGCTAGTTGTGCATATTGGTGACAAGTGGGTTAGGCTGTTTGGAGAGTGTTAATACATGATTGACTTTAATGTGTTTAAGTTTTGCTCCCTCCTCCTTCCGCGGGCCTATTTTCTCTCAGTTTGCCTCATTAAATCTTTGTGGAAATTCTCCAGCTCTTGTGGAAGAGACTTTCCTTTGATTACGCTATAAACAAATGGAGGAGTTGGTTGACATCTCCCAAGACTGTGGCCCTCTTTTGTTTTGCTGCTACACTGTTGCTGCCCCCCCCCACCTCACTCCCCCGCTTTGACAGGACTCGAGTACTACTCCCCGAAGCTTTTATTCTTGCTCATTTTCTTTTCCTTCAACCAACTAGGAGCCCTCCTCCCTTCTTGCCTTTGTTAAAGACAGCCCCTCATCTACACTCCCCCCCCACGTCTATCTCTCCCCCCCTCTCTCTCTTTCTCACACCATCTCTCTCGCTTACTTATTATGTGCTCATCCGTTCCGCTGACTGAGGGCTGAGAGAGGCGTGCTCAGGAAGACACTGTTTGGAAAACCAGCGACATGTCGCTGCAGTTTCATCCACAAGAAAAAAAAGAAAAGAAAGGTGGACAGAAGTGTAAGGAGCTGCTTTTCCCGTGGCCAACACTCCTCCTCCCTCCCGTGTACTTCCCTCTCGCGCTGTCTGTCTGCTGACTTCTCTCATTGACTCTCTCCTGCGTGCCTCAGTTGGCTGACTGAGTGCACTGACACCGGGACCACTACCTGCTGCCTGGGGATTAAGCGCGCTATGAATACCCGGAGCCTAATTTGTTGTTTTGGCTGCCAGTGAATGTTGGATACGCACGCAGGAGAAGCTGGAGCCACAGCCTTCTGGCCAGGACTCTTGGAGCGCCTCTGGACTGAGATATCCCAGTGAAAAAGGGGACTGGATGCTTGGGCAAGCGTATAAAAGAGAGGCAGCAAACACAAGAATGAGAGACAATGCTGGACAAGTTATTTTTCTGAAAGGTAAAACAGCAGAAGCCAATTCAGCCTAATTCTTACAAGGGTCAGCGAGAGCCTTATCCTCTCATTATTTGGCTGGAATTTCTTTCACGGGCTTCTGACACAAAGAAATAATGCCCAGCAAATCCCCGCCTCGAGCGCCTCGCTTCATTCCCAACCACACGGAGGTTTTTTCTCCTTTTCTCTCTATGAGGTTTTTCATTCATAGCGTCGCTGGATTTTCTGTAGCTGCTTAGGAAGCAAACAGCTGTGGACTGACAGGTTGAGCAGGCGATCGCTCGCCTCTCTAACTTTTTCCCCTCCTCTCAGCCACTTCTTTTGACCTGCTTTTGGCCCCAGCTCTCCAGAAGGTTTAAAGGTGGGGGCAGCTGCTCTCCCCCCTCCATGCGACTCGATTGGAATAAAAGGGTATTGAACCAGCGAGGAGCGGCAGTCACGCAGGACAAGCGGGGGAGAGAAAACACAGACCATCTCCCTATGGTTGAGTGAGAGGCAGCCAGCTGCCTTCTAACCATCCTCCAAATCACACGGCGGAAGATGCAAGGTGCTCCGGTGATGATGTCAGATTTGGATGGGTTTGGTGTGCGGCGGACCGCACCGTAACCAGGCAAACAAGCTGTCCTGTGGATACAAAAAAAAGTTGTGTGCAGTTTGAAGCTGATCATCGCTGATAAGAGCACTTATGCTCCGATATTCCAGCATGCAACAGCCACAAGGAAACTTAATGAGATCTGCAGCCATCACCTCTTAGGGAAATACTTGTGATGATGTTTTCGGCAAGCGCCAGGCGTTGGCATTCGTTGTAAAGGCGTTTGACAAGAGAAGAAGAAGAAGAGGGGAGCACTCCTCCTTTGCTAATTATCAATCAGGGTCACAGCAAAGAAAAGATTCCTTCTGTGGATTTATCGTCTGTCTGCTCTGGAAGTTTTTCCCCTTTGGATATCTGACAATCCAAACGCACAGATTCCTGGTTTAGGTTGTACACCTCACAAGCGCACTAAACGCACATATTCAGCTACATTAATCACCACCCAATTAAATCCACACACGTTTGCTCTGTAAGTATAAAACACACGAGAACACACACAAGCATACTTCCACATTAGAATCCCATTAGTTTGTTTTTTGTTCCAGCGGCCACAGGAGAATGGAGGTCGTGTGGACGGGTGGGGGGCTGTAGGAGTCCCTTCAGCCTGTCCTCTTCCCCAAATGGATGTTATTACCTCTAAAAATGTGCTGCTTGGAAACCGCTGAAAGCTTCCTGCTGCAATTCTCTGACAGAAACAGTCACGGGGTCTCTGCCACGGTGCACAGCTGGAACCACAACTGAAACAGCCACCATCTATTTTTTTGTTGTTGTTGTTGTTGTTTTTTTTGTATTAAATTTCAGTTTATCTTCACCACCTGTCACCCCTAACCCACCGCCATCATTTTTTCCAACGGGTCTTTGGGCACCCCTCGCCGAGCTCCTCGTCCCGTCGTCTCCTCTACGCTGGAGGGGCGCGGGTCATTGGAGTGGAGCATGAGCGGGTGCCACTATCCCTCACCGCCGCCGCAAGAGCGGGACCGCAGGTACCAGCACAAAGTGTCGCTGGTGGTGCGCTACTTCATGATCCCCTGCAACATCTGTCTGATTCTGCTGGCCACATCGACGCTGGGCTTTGCCGTCCTCCTCTTCCTCAATAATTGTACGTTTGTTAATCTGAAGCACACAACTCAACTGTCTGCACTGTACTGCTTTCCACTGTAATGTACGGGTCACTGTTTGGCAGTAGACTTGTTGCCATAAGTGCTTTGCTACAGAATTGATCTCGGAAGGAATGATTTACTTATTTATTTTTATTATTATTTCACATAATACCTCATTTTTGCATTAAATGTCCTTGTCAGAGGAAATGCCCCCTTCAAAATCACCTTTAACTCTCATGACAGCCTTATCTGCGCTTGAAGTAGGGACATCAAGACAGCTAAAGTCACAGCCCCCCCCCCGCGCCGACCCCCTTTGCTTGATTCGGTATCTGCCGGCTTCTAAGACTGCTCCTATCTCCCCTCCAAAGCCTTGGCATTTACTTTGAACTGCGCAGTGAAGTATTAAATGGCGATTAAATGTCTTTGGTGGATTTTTTTTTTTTTAAAGTATCTTTTGGCCCAGAAAACTCTGACCGCCGTCATCTCCTCACAATGTAAAATTCTCTTCTTTTAATCCACTGAAATAAAAGCAGCTCATTAAAAGCCCAAAGCATACAATTTGTAGGGCTGATCTGATGCTCAGCTAAGCCCATGACAGATAGGGGCTGATTTTCAGATCCAATAGAAGCAGGCGCATGACCGAAATAGACGTTCACCTGCCACCTTTTTTTTTTTTTTTGCACCATCGGTAACACACGGGCAGGTTTTCCCCGCTTCAGTTTGTTAACGCAGCCTTATTCATTCTGCTCGCTCTCTCAGAGACTTGCACACTTCTATTTGCGAGTGCCCCGCCTGCGTAAATCGTGCTAAAGGTGAAATTTATTCAACTTTTCAAAGTGGGCCAATATTTATGCATGACTTGCTCCTCATAATCACCTGCAAATTATAATAAGTAAGCAAACGCGTTCAAGAAGTGCAACTGTAATAGTAATTTTAATACCGCCAAATGCGATTTAAAGTGCTATTTGAGAAACATTTTGAGGAGAAAGGCTTTTTTAATTCTCTCTGGCCTACGGTTGTGATTCCATCTGTTTCTGCTGGATTTCTCTTCTCTCTGTTATCAGGCTGGCAAATGTTCTCACATATACAAAGCAAAGACCTCGGTTGAGGATGCTTCTCCTGGCATTTGTCAAAGATTGTCTTCCTGTCATCTTTGCTGCTCGGTCCTCCTCCATCTCACGGGTGTCAGTTACCAGGATGGGGATGGCTCATTTCTAACCTCGTCGTGTTCCCAAATCAATTCAAGCCAGACAGATTCTATTAGATTTAATACAAACTCAGTTAAAGCAAGCCAATCTTCACCTCTCAGATGACCGAGTGAAAAGAAATGTGCACTGGAGAAATTGATGAGCTGAAAGAGTCTCTATTATGCTGCCGAGAGCCCTTGCCATGTGGCCACAAGGACAGCTGGATGGGATTGTGATAGTGCTGGTAGTAGCGATGTGTGTGTGTATGTGTGTGTGTGATTGGAGGAAGGGTGTGTAACCTCAGATTCGCAATTTCTGTTGTCGCCATATGGGGTGAAGCATGTTCGCACATACGCACACAGTTTGTAGCCCCTGCCCCTCCCAAATGCTTTTTTTTCCCCCTGCCAACGCGGACACACACTCACTTCATCATTCGGTATGACTATACATCAGCCAAAGCAAAGGGGAAGGTGACACACATGCAAAGATGTAGACACACACCTCTTCTGCACATGGCTAAATGTCACAGTCAGACACGTATTGATTTGCTGAAGATACAGGTTGAATGATGGCCGTGTTGTGACATTCACACAGGCACGGGAACTCACGCAGGCTTTGCGAGGTGCGAAGGGAGATGAAGATGGCTGATATGTTTATGGAGAGACCTTATCTTGTGCTTTCGCTATGGAAATGTGAAGAAATCGTTTAGCTTTCCCCCAGCATCTCAGCTGGCTTTGTGCTACACCTTCTCTGTCGTCTTCTCTTATTCTCCGTGTGCGGTAATGCGCTTTTATTGGCGTGCGTTTGTTTCTTCTCGTTTAGACGTGCATTCAAATGCAAGACAGGAAGCAGAGTCTGCGTCTGTGCACCTTTACAGCTCTTAGCACAACTTCTTCTTCTGTATCATCCTCGTGCCAATTTCTGCTCCCCCCGTTTCATGTGTTTTCTTGAAATCCCCTCAGATAGAAATCAGCTACTGTCATGACTGACTAGGAAACAGCTTCACCAGACACTTCATTATTCACCTCTAGCACCAACCTCGCTTCTCCTCTTCGCTCTCCTCATTTTTTTCTCTTGCTCGCTCGCTGGCACACACACACACACACACTTTCGCATTCTCCCCTGAAGCCCCGGCTGTTGACAAGCAATTTTAAGTGAGCCTAAATTTAAAACTCAGCTGTGTCTCGGGATGCCGACGTGGATCGCAGAAGTCCTGAGAAAAGGCTTCGGCGGATCGGTTGACATGGGCCCCGGAAAAATGTGTTAGCAGGGTAATTGATGTGATGTGTTTTATCTTCCTCATTATCCTTCACAGTGCAGAGGCATTGGAGACATGGCTGGGTGGTTGCACAGCCGTGTGTGTTGCTGTGTTTGTTCAGCACAGGCAGCTCTGACAACTCACTGGGGCTTTGCTTAGTGAGTCAGACAGTTGAGTTGACTGCTGGAGTGCAGATGGTGGTTCATTTGGGTTCTGCTTGGACCGCCAGTACTTGGCCAGTCTTTGACCAGTGTATCATAATGCTCTTCGAGGAAAACACTAAGTTTTTTAAGGCAAAGATCGCTACTAATGGTACTAATGGTGGTAATGACCTGTAGTGTTTCTGGTGCGCACACTTTACTCGGGCTCTCCGCTTAGCTAAATACATGTTTTGTTGACACATTCTGGTCATTTTTTACTTTTATCCTTTCATAAGTCTGAAAATAAGACGCCATTCGTGGTGAATTTACTAATGAACAATCTCCATCTATCATATTTTGGAAGTTGAGTTGCTGCAGACTAACTAGCTCCAGTCCTTCCTGTCTGGCCATCCACGATGTCTCTAGTTTAGTGGTTGTAGTGATGAAATCTGGGCACACACCACCTAGAACCTGCGGCAGGCGGAGAACAGAACAGCTGCTGTCCAAGACGGTGGATTTGAATGTGCTCCACAGGATGAGGGCCTCAATGAATAGGCAGCTGATTGTGCTACTTTACTTATTATTATTATATTTAATAATTGTTTTAAGAAAGAGCATGTCTGCTTCCTTCTGTATACGTGTGCACGCGTAGCTCAGGACTGATCCTGTGTTATTTTTAATTGACATAGTATAACTCTGCAGGACGTGTGTTTACTTCACTTGTACCATATGTGTGTGCTGCCTGTATACTTGATTGTCCTCCGTTCACCACTTAAATGATCAGATGTTTAATCAGTTAGTCAAGCCACAGAAAATTAATCTACCCCAGCATGAATAGGCCATTGTTTTGCAAGAAAACTTTTTTTCCCTGGTTATAGCCACTAAAATCAGGAAATTGGCTGTTTAACATTGGAAATTGCACATTTTGGGCTTGCAGACTGAACATCTCCTAAGGCTTTGGGAAATTGCTTTTTTCACTCCTTTTTTATTTTGGCTCCTAAACAAATTGATCATCTAATTGAAAAATAATCACGAGATTAAGCAACAATGTAATAACAATTGTTAGTTTTAGCCGTGTTTCAATTTTTAACAATAGCCCCTGTTTTTCCTGTCAAGTAATGTGGAACCAACCTCCATCAATCTTCATTATATATAAGGGTTTGTAATCAGTGCAAACGGCCTGGTCAAGTTTGCACTCATTTGCAAAGGATTCAGGTTACCTGAGGGTTTTTTTCCCCCTGTGAGTGATTTTCCACACTCAGTCATTTGACACCGCAGGTCTTGTTTTATGGTTCCCATGAAACGACGAGCCTTATGTCATGGTCTGCTGGGTTTTGACCAGGACAACGGTATGATGTCATTTGATGAATTAAGGGAAAACATTCTGATTTATTATGCATATAGCTGCATGAGGGCTGGTGGGGGTCCGAGGTACACTATGACATCAGTATTGTGTAATTTCACATCTTGTCTCATACTTTTGAATCTGAAACAATAACAGACGTCTGCCTTCTGAACTCTCATGTGCTCTAATATCAAAAGTCATGCAGCGGGGTTCAGATCAGATAGACCATAGATGTAATGAATGACAATGATGATAGCACTATCGCTGAAATGTACCTGTGTCGATTAGCTCAGCTGGATTCCTGTAGGACCCAGTCATTGCATTAGAATGTGTTAGATGAAAACGCCAAGCCCTGTCTCTTCTTTTTTTTGTAGCAACTCAATTTACTCCCTTTACTCCTGGGAAGTCGCTGAATCTCCCCAAAACTAAAAACCTATTTCTCTCTTTCTCTTTTATCTTTTTCAGACAACCCACTTCACTTCGCACCGACTGTTGATGGTAAGTCCTCAGTGGTTTCTCGCCGCTCGCCTTCATTGACCGCTGGGTTTCTGGGGGGTGCCTGGGAATAATGACCGCAGACAGCAGATCCCTGCCTTTGAAGCGGGCAGCCGTCTGTGCCGCTTTGCCAGTTTTGGCTGCCCCGCTTTTTGTCTCTGCACTGTTGGTATGGCAGGCACGTGGCCAGGCCTGCTCTGTGCTTTGATGTAAGGAGGATCTTTTGATGACTTGATTTGATCTGCTCTGCATGGCCACTTGGGCTGACGTTCAATACCTGTTACCAAAGCGCCATTCACATTTTTCTGATAAGGTCTAATAGGATGTACCCCTCTCTTTGCCGTGAGTAACGGAAGCTCTGCGCCGCACCATTTCCTCACCTTGTTATCCATATGTTCTCATCCAGCACATTTCTGGAATGAGTACAATATTTTTCAGTTGTTCCTAGTGCAGTAACATGAGCCATTAATTAAAAAAAGCAACAATTTAGTTCCAAAACAGTAGATCTCGGCACACTTTAATTGGAGAAAAACAGCTGGTTTTCGAGCTTCTATCATGAATATTTATCAGAGGCAGCACAGTGAGATAGTGTTTGATAGACTTTGATGTTTTTTGGGGGGGTTTGCTACACTGACAGATAGCCAGGGATGGACTCCTACTAGTTCTGAAGGTGTTGTATCATCCCGCTTGTGTGCAGGCTACAAAGCCGGAGGTTTTGAAGAGAGAAAACACGAAGAGAAAAGGTTTCTAATGATCCCAAGGCTGGCTCATGCCGGGGACAAAAGGCCACAGTATGGGTTTGCTGAATCTGTTTCTGATAATTGCTCAATCACTCGCCCCATAGGCCGGCTTGTTTGGAAAAGCAGTTTGTGAAAGATGTCAGCTTAAAAAAAAATGCGTCAAATAAGAGGCGGTTTGTGATGAATGTAATTGTGAACAGTCTATTGTAGGGACAATAGGGTGCTCACTGTCAGTCCAAAATGGTTTCAACAAATAATTGTGCTTGATTGAAGCATTTCTCAACTCTGCCTCACCTCAGCACCTGAGGAGTACATGCGCTGTGTAGTTTTCTTTTTTTTTATTCATCTTTTGTGCCTCATCACAAAACACTGGAGATTCAATTGCAGTCGGCACAGCTTACAGCAGCTATTTGTTTTTGTTTTAATGACAGACAAAATTGACTTGACAAATGATTATATCTTACAGAGAGGACTCTATTTGTCTGCTTTTCAAGCAAATATTGCCATAAAATTTGGCTCGCCGCTGGGAAAATGAGAAATAGTATGCAGGCACCGAAACAGCCCATTTCTGTCCTCCATTGAATTTTCCCGTACAAAAGAAATAACGCCCTCCTTATCGATCGGGCCACTCATTTCCCATGTATTAAAGTTTTTGCTGTCTGAAGGGCACAGTTTGTTTCTGCACTAGTCAACCGTTTAAAAGCTGCTGCTAGCCCTTAATTACATTTCCAATAGTTCTGTAGGCTTTCCATCAGCAGCCTATGCTGTTTTAATATGCCAAGCAAAACAAAAAGCAAAGTCTCCAATCAGCAGGGTAAGCCTGCCCTGTGGGACCCAGTTTCTCTGGGTCATTTAACGCTGAAGAGATTAGCGAGACAATTAGAGTTGGCCCAAATACAGCAGTAGGCCACTTTTTGGAGACGTATGGTTTTAGTAGCAGTGGAGGGGTGATTTAGAAGATGCTGCAAACCAGCAGAGGGCTAATATAGCTCTGCCATTAGTCAAATCAGCTCCAAAAGGAACAAAGCTTGTTCTACTGAACTTGTCCTCGATGCCAAGGACGCTCACTCCGCCGCTCTCTCCAGTACTTAATTACAGGAAATCACAGAAAAGATACCAAGGAGCCTGCATTTTTAAACAGCCTAGTTTGTCTCTGAAAAGCCGTTTATGAGACGACCTTATTAGCGAGAGGAGATTCTGCAGAAAGTAAAGGAATTTGTTCTGCAAATTAGAGCGAGAGAATCTTGGGAGCTTACTGGGGGGAAAAAAATGCGGGTTCGGCACAACATAAGCAAAGCTCTTACGTGATATTTATGGCGTGCGCCACCCGCAAATAGCTGATGAGTCCTCCCCAATGAATGGCCTATAATCACCAGTCAAAAAAAGTGACAAAAGTCACAAAGCAGCCTTTAATTAGGCTCTTTCTTTGAAAGCTCAACGCAGCAGTTGCTCGGCTCTGGCCATACTCATTATTGCCTGTCGTCTCCTGATAATAAGACAGTTGTTGCGTGTTTGGCCAAAGCTAAAAAGCTCATAGAATTTGCAGCTTGAGGGATTAATACTGGACTTTGGAAATTAGGGTTGAATGAGAGAAATTCTTGACGAATGAGGCTCTTGCCTCCCAGCTGTTAGCAACCACATGCAGAGAAAACAGAAAATGCTCATCCGCTTGTTAAGAACATACAAAGGAGACACTGGTAATAATACATGTAGTCTCTGTTAAGACTTATGAAGGGTTTTTTTTAAGTTATGCCACTTGAACAAAATAGACTGTGTGTCAGAATGAGTGTTTCTCTGGAGATGTACCCTTCGTTTCCTCCTATTACAAGCTTAGGTAGCTGAACAAGGACCAAACAAGATTCAAAATAGGCCAGACCATCACTATAAAGGAAGTGTAATGGGAGAGTCGAGCCGCAGACAGTTCAGAGGTCTCCTGTGACTGCAGCCGTGTTCAGCACCGCCTGCCTGGAAAGAGCCCATTCGCTGTGAATCTTCCATTTCACATTTGTCACTGACAGCTCTCTCCAGAGGATGCTCCTCACTGACAGTCAAAATAAACTCCTGGGCTGAAACGTGATTTGATCTAAGACGGTGGGACGCTTGTTAAAAAAAAGTGCCGGCGGGCTCACTTAGACTTTGTGAACACTACCCAGAACTGACACAACTGCTTTTCGGCTCTGCGAGAACAGTACAGTAACCAAGGGCTCCACACCCATTACCCCCTCAGACACACACACGACCCTCCTGTAATTTATTCTGGGAGCCTTTCCCTGTGTTCTTGACAGTAAGCCTGACTCAGAGAGAGGCAGAATTAATTATGACTCCTCGGCCTATCTTAATTAAATCTTTTCACATCACAGATTTTACACAACAGAGGCAAAGTATCTACCTCATCTTTTAGCCAGGGCGGGGCTGCCGGCTGAGAAAGTCTCACATCAAGATATCAAAGGTACACTGTAAAGTTGCCTCTCTAGGATTATAATTTAACAGAAGAGTTGTCATGTCCGGCTTTTAACAGGGCGCAGCTTGTTAGCTCGCTGTTGTTGAGGCTGCTGGGGAAAGCAAGCAGCCTTGACTTTATCTGCGGAAAGTTTGTTGCCCTTTAAAAGTACATAGACATCTCAAACTGCACAGCTGAACTCTGTAGCCTCGCTTCGGCCCACCCCGCTTCATGTCAGCAGGACTCAATAGATGCTTATGTGAGCAACAAGCAAGCAGAATATATTTTTTGATAAACGCAGGTGAAAGACATCAGAATTAGCCGAATATCCTAAAACCCCCGCATCTAACCATTCATCATTGACAGCCTTCCCACACAGACCCGCCTCGACTCACCTCGGCTTCCCAGTATCGATCGACCAAGATGGGCTACAAGCAGCCGTCCAAAGAGAGAAAAACAAAAATATTAGCCAGAGAGGCGAGAAATGAGTGGGCTGAAGCGGTAAAGCGCGGCACTATTTTCTTTTGATTTCCTATGACACAGAGTAATTGTTGACACAGTTAGTGATGCTGGCATTCTTTGATATGTCCCCCAGCTGTTGGAGCAAACCTCACCGATTGTTGATGCAGGTTAGTCAGGGACCTTGGACCTTGTGAGGATCAGTAGTTCTTTGATGTGGATGTACATCACACTGAGCTATCTTTGGCTGTGATCTGAAAGCTTGTCAGCAAGCATCCCTGAAAGTCATGTCTGATTTAGAGGTTTCGATCTCTGATGGCTGCTCTGATTGTTGGAAAATAAATAGTAAAGGAAAGGATTAAATACAAAAGTATTCATGCCATATGTTCATCCAGTGTTTTCTTTTTTCTTTTTTTAAATGCACTCTTTGGCGCATGTAGCAATACAACTTAACACAGTTGTGGCAGCTTTCTTTGTTTTGCTCCAGAAGTCACGCGTTTAAAATTCATCCAAACTATGCAGGCTTGAATTTGCTTGTTATTTTCCCCATTCTTTACGATGAAGTAGGAGATTTAAAAATCAGGCAGTAAAAGAGCAAACAAAACACATTTCCATTCTTCTCAGTCTCCAAAATGAAATCGAAGGAGTGACATTAGCAGGATAAACAAAACCTCATTGACTGTAAGAATCCATTGCAGCTAATTAATAGTTTCAAGCAGCTTATCGAAGCCCTTATCACTCAGCGTGGCAGTGCAGAGGGATGCTGAAAGCCCACCCTTCCCCAGCTCCGTGTCATATTTTGAAAGTAATTAGCATGCAGAATTGGCTAATGTCACTTTAAATGAGCTCTCCGTGTTGGTCGCATGTTGACGGCGAACGTGGCTATTCAGCGGCAGTGAAAGGCCGCGCTGCTCGCTCGGTCTCATTAACACAGCAGCAAGTTATTTTAAATCGGGACGCAGTCAATGCTCCACTTTAAGCTGTGATGGGCAGGCGCTAATTTAATTGTTGGGTGGCAGTGTCAGAAAATAACCACATTGGTAAGTGTAACCAATGCGACGAATTTCATTGTCAGGTTGTTAATTAGAGGAAAATAAGTGGCCCGGCACGTCGATGTGTTCTAGAGCAATATTGCACAGTGATATCCTGCTATTAGCGGAGTCCTGCATCGCAATCAGCGTTTCCCTTATTAAGAAGTGCAAGTTAAAGGAGGCTTTTTGCTCAGCAGCTGACAATATCTGCACCGTTTGCACAGATACTGTATGTCTTAGTTTCCTGCAGAAGCTGTGTTTGCTGTGAGAGCCAGACATCTGCAGTTCACTGCTCGCTTTCTCTCTCTCTCTTGTTCTGTCAGACACACACAC